TGGTGTGGGGGTGAGTATTTAAATGATATGCAATTTTCAATAGCTCCATGCTCTTAGACAAGTGGAAATCCACCTTCCTGGCTTTGTGGAGCCCTCGTGAAAACCTCTTAGGCCTCGCTTTGACTAACATGGGATGGATTTGGGGCAGTTGCTGGCAGGCCAGAACATCCAGGGGTTGTGGTTCTCAGTTGGAGCTCAGCATCCAAATTTGTTTCATGAGCCTGAGAAAATGTGAGTCAGTAGATTATTATTACTTGGAAAAGGCAGACTTGGGGATATATATTGCACAAGTATTCTAAAATGTATTTATCACCCGGGATATGGTACCAGTGCTTCACCAGAAGTCTTACTGAGCACTTTCACAGGGCTGAAAGTAACCACAGACATTCTTCCCTGTGCTTTGTCAAACTCTTCTCTAGATCCAGTGTAGCATCAAACCCCATGCAATCATCATCCTCCCCAACACAGATGGGATGGAGCTTCTGGTGTGCTATGAAGATGAGGGGGTTTATGTAAACACGTATGGAAGGATCACCAAGGATGTAGTTCTACAGTGGGGAGAGATGCCCACGTCAGTAGGTATGGAGAACTTGGGGAAAGGCAGCAGTTGTGAAAGTGGAGCCTTGTCTGAGACTGCATATATTTATCATGCTGATCTTGTATGTCCTTCAGACCTTTTGGCCACCATTGAACAGAGTGGTTGGCAGTAGATGGTGGAAAGTTAGATTGTAGGCCATGGAAATAGTCATAGGTCTATTTTAGAACAAAATCCAAGTAATTATTTTATATTTTAAAAACCCTATTATCATAATCTCTCATTTAATCCTTAAAATACTCAGAGAAAAATTGGACATGTTTTTGTTGACCACTTTGTAAAGGGAAACAGAGAATTGGTAAAGAATTTGTAAAGGAAGACAGAGAGAAAGGGAAGTTACTTGCTCTTGAGAATGGTAGAGCCATAAAATAAAGACTGATATTTGACATTTTCATGTATTCTTATTCCAAAACTGTTTTGAATTTTTTGTAATTAAGCCACTGCCTCTTCCCTGCCTTCTCTCATGACTGGAATGATAAAAATATGTGCACTAAACTGTAAACTTGGTGGGTCATTTCTCAAAATGAGCATGAAAGTCCTAAGGAAAATGAAATAGATCAACCGTTGATGCAAATAACTACTTCACAGGATAGACAAGTTGGTTATAAAGGCAAAGTTCCTTGAAAACAAATTAAATGCTAGGCATTTAAATTTTAAATTTTAAAAAGATATAAAAGTATAAAAATATATTTTTATTACATAAGCAACATCTTTTCAGGACTGTTTCCTTATCTTTAATGGTTTGCAATTTTTCCCTCCCCCAAAGCATATATTCGATCTAACCAGACAATGGGCTGGGGAGAGAAGGCCATAGAGATCCGATCTGTGGAAACTGGTCACTTGGATGGTGTGTTCATGCACAAAAGGGCTCAGAGACTAAAATTCTTGTGTGAACGCAATGACAAGGTAATGGTTTCCTTATGGATTCTTTTTAGTTACTCTATCTTTTAGTAATGGCTTATTTTCCATGGAGTTTGATGATTAATTTCTTTGGCGTTTTGATAGGTTCTGAAATAATAAGGAATGTTTTAAATATTGCTTTTTAGTCATGTTCGTGAGGATTGGGGCATAGTTTGTGTTTTGCTATGAGGGCATAGAGATACTTTTCTCTATAGAAATTAACATATTTGTGTGTGTGTGCGCGCACGCGTGTGTGTGTGTGTGTGTGTGTGTGTGTGTGTGTGTGTGTGTATATAAAACCCTATTAGGTGACCTGTCTAGGATATAATTAGTTTAGAGATAGGGAAGATAAAAGCTGCCAGTTTTGTTGGCTGGAATCCTTTTGTGAGTGGAAGGAATCACCCATGTGATTTAGGTAGATAGAAAGGTTTCTCTCACCTAATGTGTGTCAAGAAGATGTCCCTTGTTAGTCTGTGAGCAGTGAAATTGCTTTCTAGGTTTGCATGTCAGAAATGTTTTACAGTAAAAATCATCTTATGCAGACAGGTAGTACCTCCTGCAGGTGAGATCCCGTGGCATCACACCCCCTTGCTTTTCAAAACTGGCCATACCCTTCCGGGGACAACTCCTAGGGCGACTTCCTCCCAAGAAGTCCCTTTCAAACCAGTTTCGGAGTGGAGCAGATAGATGGCCAGGGGCATTGACCCATCCCTATTTGCCAAGGGAGAAGGCATTGAGGGTGGAACTGAGTTTTACCAAGCCTACCCTTTACAAAGGTATGTCTGACTACCTGAGGCAAGATACCATAGCCCTAGAAACTTGGCTCTGAAGAATGCCTTTTGCCTCCCATTGACATACTAGCAGTCAGGCAGTAGGTTGAGTTCTCAGATTTAAAAATTCACTAATTTAATGTGAGAAAGAAGAAGCTATACATCTGTCCTTGTCAGCTGCCCAACACATCCTAAACACAAAGTTGCTTTACCCCACCCACTGTCTCCTGCACCCCACCCACTGTCTTCTGCACCCCTAGCCACTGTCGTCTGCAACCCTACAACTCAGTTTCAAGTGGAGTTTTGCTTACAGAATATCTCCCAAATCTGTGACCTTGAAAGTCTCTACAACCTCCGATGGGATTTTGTCAGCTTGTTGGCTTATACTTTCCTAAGTATGTTTACTGTAGCTATAACTATAAACATTCTTTGTTTCAGGCATTTTAATATTTTTATTATGCATGTCATGTCCTTTAACATTTATTAATAAAAGGCACAGAAATTCTATTTATGGATTATATGAAGGAATTAATACATTTTTTGATGATTTTTAAAAAGAAATTAGGTTGTTAAGGAGCTTTTCCTTTTGCTCCTTGTGTTTTTTAAGGACATTTATTTTTTAGAAGGTGTTAACAGTGGAAGAGAAAAGAAATAACTCTTCAGAAACATCCATTTTTTTTTTACTTTTGTGTTTTCACAATATGCCAACGTGTAAGGAGTTAGTAGTAACAAGCCTGAGTTGTAATAAAAATTGGCTGCAGATGGTCACTCCTGCAGTTATAAATTGATACTGTCCTAGTTTTTTGAGGGGGAGGAGGGGTTGGGGGAGACAGAGTCTCACTCTGTCGCCTAGGCTGGAGTACAGTGGTGCAGACATGGCTCACTGCAGCCTCCACCTCCTGGGTTCAAGTGATTCTCATGCCTCAGCCTCCTGAGTAGCTGGGATTACAAGTGTGCGCCACCACACACACTGTTTTTATGTTGGCCAGGCTGGTCTGGTACTCCTGGCCTCTCAAAGTGCTGGGATTACAGGCGTGAGCCACTGCGCCTGGCCTCAGAGTTTTTGAAAAGGCTCTTTGGGGTCTAAGCTTCATGTACTTGCCAGTATTGAGGATGATGGTGGCTTAGATTCCCTGGCTGGAAGTGCTATATGACCATGCTAATTATGGCCTCTCTTTTCTTGCTTTTGCAGGTATTCTTTGCCTCTGTTCGGTCTGGTGGCAGCAGTCAGGTTTATTTCATGACCTTAGGCAGGACTTCTCTTCTGAGCTGGTAGAAGTAGTGTGATCCAGGGATTACTGGCCTCCAGAGTCTTCAAGATCCTGAGAACTTGGAATTCCTTGCAACTGGAGCTCGGAGCTGCACCGAGGGCAACCAGGACAGCTGTGTGTGCAGACCTCATATGTTGGGTTCTCTCCCCCCCTTCCTATTCCTCTTTTACCAGTTTATCCCCATTCTTTTTTTTCCTTACTCCAAAATAAATCAAGGCTGCAATGCAGCTGGTGCTGTTCAGATTCTACCATCAGGTGCTATAAGTGTTTGGGATTGAGCATCATACTGGAAAGCAAACACCTTTCCTCCAGCTCCAGAATTCCTTGTCTCTGAATGACTCTGTCTTGTGGGTGTCTGACGGTCGACGATGATCATGCCATTTGTTTTATTGGCAGTGGGCACAAGGAGGTGAGAAGTGGTGGTAAAAGAAGCAGAGTACTGAAGCAGAGAGCAGATTTAATATAGTAACATTAACCGTGTATTTAATTGACATTTCTTTTTTTGTAATGTGACAATATGTGGACAAAGAAGAAGATGGAGGTTTAAGAAGTTAATATTTATAAAATGTGAAAGACACAGTTACTAGGATAACTTTTTTGGGGGTGGGGCTTGGGAGATGGGGTGGGGTGGGTTAAGGGGTCCCATTTTGTTTCTTTGGATTTGGGGTGGGGGGGGTCCTGGCCAAGAACCCAGTCATTTTTCTGTGTACCAGGTTGCCTAAATCATGTGCAGATGGTTCTAAAAGAAAAAAGAGAACGTGTGCATTTTGTATAATGGCCAGAACTTTGTTGTGTGACAGTATTAGCACTGCCTCAGTTAAAGGTTTAATTTTTGTTTAAACCTAGAAGTGCAGCAACAGTTTTACCACAGTCTGCACTTGCAGAAGAAAAAAAAAATTCAAACCACGTGTTTATTTTTTTGCCTACCTCATTGTTTTTAATGCATTGAGAGGTGATTTAGTTTATATGTTTTTGGAGGAAACCATTAATGTTTAATTTAATCGTAATACCAAAACTATCAGATTGAAGTTTGACTTCTATTGTCACAAGTCAGCAGGCACAAGAACTGTCCATGAAGATGGGAAATAGCCTTAAGGCTGATGCAATTTACTTCCAAGTTTAGAAAGCAGAATGCTTTGTTTTCAACGGATTCACCATTAGAGGTTGATGGGGCAGCTGTAGCCCATGACAGGAGATTTCATTGTTCTCGATTTGGGGGTTTGGTAGCAGACAGGTGGTCACATTAGAATAGTCACACAAACTGTTCAGTGTTGCAGAAACCTTTTCTTGGGGGCGGGGGAGTTTCCCTTTTCTAAAAATGCAATGCACTAAAACTATTTTAAGAATGTAGTTAATTCTGCTTATTCATAAAGTCGGCATCCTCTGTGTTTTAGTGTAATATTGAAGTCCTGGCTTTTCTCGTTTTCTCACTTGCTCTCTTGTTCTCTGTTTTTTAAACCAATTTTACTTTATGAATATATTCATGACATTTGTAATAAATGTCTTGAGAAAGAATTTGTTTCATGGCTTCATGGTCATCACTCAGCTCCCCTAAGGATGTTACCGTCTCAGGAAAGATTCAGGGCTCCGTGTCACAGTCCTGCCATCTTACTTTCCTCTTGTCGAGTTTCTGAGTCAAAGTACTGCATTACAACTGCTTTAACCTCGGTCCCCAAAAGAAACTTGCTGTTTTCTAGGCTTAATCTTCTTCCTTTGTGTTTAATTTTCTTGTGTATTGTGAAAATGAGGGAGTCTTCTCTGCCCCCACCCACTTAAACACAACAGCCATTTGTACCTGTTTGCTTCCCATCCAACTTGGCACCCACTCTGGCCTCTGTCACTCCCTTCCCCCCGGTTCACTGTTTTTGAAAAAGGCTCTCCTTTGAGCTACAAACATCTGGTAAGACAAGTACATCCACTCATGAATGCAGACACAGCAGCTGGTGGTTTTGTGTATTCTCTTAAAGACATGATAAACTGAGAAGCCTTACTTTTTGGGGAGGGAAAAGAAGATGGAAACGGGTGTTTCATTTGTGTGAATTTGGAGCAGTGCTGAAAGGCCAAAGCTTTCTGCTGGTTTGTAGTTAATGTATAGAAGGTTGCAAAGTTTATCCTACATTTAAAGGGATTTGAGGTAGGCTGGATTCCATTGCCACAGGACTTGAGTTAGAATTAGATTCCTGCTGGTGATTTATATCCATGTTTAGGCTTTTCATAAGATGAAACATGCCACAGTGAGCACACTTGTGTACATATCAAGAGAAGAAAGAAAGGCACAAGTGATTGTGGCTCCTTCCCTGGCTTTAGAGAATGGTAAAAGGTGGGCATATGTCTTTGAAGAAATACCCAATGTCTGATATTAAGGGGGAGAAGGCAGAGAACAAAGGATGTGGTAACATGGTCTTACATTATCTAAAGACTTGCAGCTCCACATCTGTAAGTCAAATGTTGTTATACAAAAAACGCAAGTGGTGTTTCATTGGAATTACCGATTACTTAGAACCTGAGGAAAACTGGCTTTCCCATAGGTGGTAATGGGGTCTGAGCTCATGCCAAGTCATGATTCCCTGCTTGCACAGGTCCAGGCACCCGGTGGGCACTCTCTTGGTGTTTGTGGGGAACTGAATTGAATCCATTGTTGGACTTGACTTACTGAAGTTGGACGGCCCTCTGTCCCTCTGGGGTGGGGGTTCCTGGTCTGTTTATCTTTCCCTTCTTGGCCTCACCCCCTTGTAAACTAGATTGAGTCGCCTACAGCTTGATGCAGGTACCCAGTGAAGTTTCTCCATAAAAGATTGGGAGTCGTTGAAGTGTTTAGATTGTTTTAGGAAAGGAATGATTTCCCCCCCTTTTACAGGGTAGTAACTTCTCCACAGAAGTGCCAATATGGCAAAATTGCAAAAGAAAACAGTATTGTAATGATATCATTACATATGGAACATTGAATTATTTATAGGAACGCTCTTCCAAACAAAACAAAAATGTCTCTAGGTTTAGTCAAAGCTTTCATAAGTAATAACCTTTCTGTACTAAAATCAGAGTAACCCTTTCTGTATTGAGTGCAGTGTTTTTACTTTTTTCTCATGCACGTTATATTGGAGAAAATGTTTACAAAATGGTTTTGTTACACTAATGTGTATCACATATTTATGGTTTATTTTAAGTGATTTTTTTTGGGTTATTTAGGTTTTCTTAGTTGTAGCACATTCACCCTAATTTTGCCAATTATTAATTTGCTAATTAGTAATACAAATCACAAACTGCATTAAGTTCACTAATTATAAAAGCTGCAAAGCAGACTGGTGGCAAGTACACAGCCCCCCCCCCTTTTTTTTTTTTTTTGCAGTGCTAACTTGTCTACTGTGTATTATGAAATTACTGTTGTCCCCACCCTTTTTTCCTTAAATAAAGTAAAAAATGACACCTATTTTATGTGGCATGAGTTTCAAATATGTTCTGACCCTTCAGAATGTTTCCTTCCTGTGAGGATCCATATTTTATACACACCTGCCTCCCCTGAGCTATCGGTACCAGAGAGGGCTCCTGTATTCTGCTGTCTCACATGAAAGGGGCTTGCCCAAGGGATCGCCAGGTGTAGATTATGCAAGTAGCAAATGTTTGTCTAAAGATCTCAGAGATGAAATGGGTGATGAACCTCCATCACCATGTTCCTGAAGCCAGTATGGAGTAAAGCTGGTCCTTATCCCTAATAAGGAAATAATGTTGCATTTCTGAAATTTCGAATTTGGATTAAAAAGTAAAAAGCATGATGTCTGTAATAGGACAATTAAAGTAGCTCTTTTTCAATTCAATGCATAAATACAACCTGGGTCTAATAATTGGAGCCCCTTCAATGTAAGGTCATTTTGTCTAAGCTCTGGGGATCCCCATCAACTCCCCATAGGCCTGGTAGGCATGATCCCCATCGGGGAGATCTGGGGCCATGCTCTCAGTATCAGCACCTCGCCTTAGCCTCCAGGGCTGCCTGTGCTACGTCGTCATCAGTTAGGTATGTTAATAAACCACTTTGTGCTTCATCCTAGAAACATAGTATTTCTCCAATGTGAAAATAAAATTATAACTACTTAGGCTGTCAGATGAGTAAGATTTCTGTTTTCCTACTTGATGCCTTGCAATTGGTGGATGATGAGGAATAAAAATCTGGGTGAAGTTTTCTTGGGACCATTATGCATTCCTGCAGTTCCACCTTTATCCTCCACTGGTTGAGATTTCACTGAAAGGAAGCAATGGGGATCCAATCAGACCCTCCAGCCAACACCAGCTCTGTGTTTTGGCATCACTTTAAAAGATACAGTAAAATTGCTGCATTCTCTGGCATCTTAGCACCTTAAAAAAAAAAAATGCCCATGCTTTAAGCAGAAGTAGCTTATGTATTTTATAAAGTAAAATGGCTAATAAATAAAAACTTTGAGAAAGTAGTTACTATTTTCTTATGGGAGAAGATAGACCCTCAAATACCGTGTTCCCGTACCTTGTCTACATTTTTCTTAGGTTAATCAGACTATCCATGTGTCAGATTCTTCCTGAAACAGTCTTGTCTTTGCCTCTGCCCTGCCCAGCTTCTTTGGGGATATCCTTTTCTATTCCCTAATGCCCTGGCATGCTGTTATCTTGCTCACTATTTCCTGTTGGATACAGAGCCTGCATGTTAACCAAGATTGTTTCTCAGATTTAACCACTTATTATAATTCAAACTCTGCTCCACTCATCCTGAACTAGCAAACATGCCGGCACAGAGCAGGCACTCAAATTCCCTGGCTGTTTGCTTAAGTAGCATGAAATAAAAACCATTAATCCAAGGGAAGACAGTCCCCTCTTGCCCCCTAGTGTAGTGTGGGACGGGTGGGGAAAAGCCCTGGTCTAGCCAGGCCCCAGGAAGGCTGCAGTGCCCTTGGGTGCTGGATTAACACCACAAGGACCCTTTTCTGAGTCCAATAACATAGTTTGTTTGGTCCTAAGAAATCTGGATTCAATATTACAGCACAAAATGACTTTTTAAAAAATCTGCTCTTCTAGTGTGGCTGAAAGTGTAAAATTCAGGCAGGTTGCTCACCAGAGTTCTGTGGAGGGATACGGACAGAGCTAAGCAAGGCCATTCTGCTCTTACCCTGATGTAACGACAGCCCTTAGAAACCAATATTAAGCAACTGTTCCACAATAAATGGTGTTGAATACCTACTGATTCTTTAACAATTTTGTTGAGATACGATTCACATACTGCATAAGTCACCCATTTAAGTAGACAGTTCAGTGGCTTGTTGTCTGAAGTTGTCCATCACTAACAATTTTCACAAGTTTTTATTACCCCAAGATGCTACTCCATACCCCTTTCCTGTTATCCTCCAATTTCCCCTCTCCCCTCCCAAGCTTTATTCAGTCCCTCAACTCTTTCTGTCACTATGGCTTGCCTGTTCTGGACATTTGCAGAAATGGAACCAGCCACTGTGTGGCCCTTTTTGACTGGCTTCTGTCACATAGCAGAGTGTATTTTAGCTCACCCATGTTGTAGCACATGTCAGCACTTCATTTCTTTATATTGCCATCCTTGTTTCGTAATCTATGTTGCTGGTTTTCTACTTCAGGTTCAGGGCCAACTACCCCACTGACAGTCAGCTGGGTCCCCCGCCTCTAAAGTCGCAGAGTTAATCTTTTTACCCCTCAGGGGTACCAGCCCGAGAAGCAGCTCCAGAAATGGTTCCTGCTAGGTGTGGTTTCAGTTTAAGGCCTTAGAAACCCAGGCGTTCCTTTCCCACAGGTAATCTTGGTGCCAAATGTAGGCTTATCTTAGGTCAGATGCAGTGGGTCAAGTTTTGGAATGGGGGACCATTTTGGAAGCACAGTTGCCAACATAGGCCCTGCCTGCTATGGAGAGCAAACCTCCAACCCGGAAAGGTTGGTACCTGTGGGCGTTCTTTGTGTCCAGATCCTAAATCAGGGTTCTCAGGTTGTCCCCTCTAACTTACATGGGCTTACCCCTAGGAAGGGGCATAAGAGCTGGCCTACTGAGCTGGGATACTTTTCTGATCCTTGGCAAACACATGCAGCTGTCACATTTCAGAAGGATCTCCTGTTGGCACCTCATGCATCTTACTGGTATAGAGCACATTTCCTCAGTGCTGCCTCCTGGAAGCCCTAACTGTCCCCAGACTGCCCTTTGCAGGGTAGATCATTGAGTAAGTGTAGATAACAGTAAACTTCTGGGAACTTGGTGGCGTTCTGGTCAGTCTAGCAAATTGAGCAACCACTGTGTGCTGAGCAGTCTTAAGATATGGTGCTTCTTTGGGGAAATGCAGAATTAACTAAAGGAGTTACTTGGAATGGTGCTTAGTATATTCTAGATGTTAAAGCAGAGACTTTAGTAAGTGTGTATAAAAGAGACTTTTAAACTACAACAGCATGCAGCTGCCAGAATAGCTGGTGTGAGTTTGAACTGCATGGATTGTGAAGTGAGAGATCATGACCCCCTTTGCTGGTCAGGTCACACTTAGATACACTCACAGAGAGACCAACTGTGGCTTCATCGCAGGAGAGGGACACAGCAGGACAGGGCTCCAGATTAAATCCAATGAAGATGGGTCAAAAGAAAAGAGAACAGTTGGTAGAAGTAAACATATATATATTCCTTTAAAGATCATTCAGCTGATCAATCCATCCTGCTTTGGGGTAATTAACAATGATAGCAATGGGATTTTATGTGTATTTGCTATGCACCAGGCCCTGTGTGCTAAGGGCTTTTATGCTTGCCTTCTCGGCCTGTAGAATAGGAGACTGGGGCTACCCATTTGCTAATTTACATTTATTTGGAGAGATATAATTGCAGGAGCCAGAGGATAGAGCTAAGAAAAGTGGGTTGAGTGCCCCAGGGGCAGAATCGGCCTCAGTATGAAAGGGACAATCAGAACTGTCCAAGGGGATGAAACAGGCAACTTCAGTCGCTGGCCAGGTCCACACACCTTGAGGCAGACTTTGATGGGATGTAGATGACCTGAAGGCCCTTCAGTACTCCCTAGCATCACCTGCCTTGAGGTAAGTTGGGACTAGATATGAGTAAGCGTGGCGTATTAGTCTGTCTTCACGCTGCCAATAAAGATATACCCAAGACTGGGTAACTTACAAATAAAAAGGTTTAATGGACTCACAGTTCCACGTGGCTGGGGAGCCCTCACAATCATGGCAGAAGGCAAAAGTCATGTCTTATATGGCAGCAGGCAAGAGAGAATGAGAGCCAAGTGAAAAGGAAAATTATGAAATTATCAGATCTCATGATACTTATTCACTAACATGAGAACAGTATGAGGGAAACTGCCCCCATGATTCAGTTATCTCTCACCAGGTCCCTCCCATAACAGATGTGAAATAGGAGAGCTACAATTCAAGATGAGATTTGGTGAGGACACAGCCAAACCATAGCAAGTGGTGTGAGCAATTCATGACCCACTTAAGAACACCTCTGAACTCATTAAGTGGCTTTGGTATGCTTTGTAAACATGAATGGACTGGATGTAGCAGAAATGGGGTCTGCTGTGGTAGAGGTAGAGACTTCTTCAGGACATGTGGATGTCTCACTGGCCCAGTTAGTGCCCTCTCCGGGGCCTGTTTGTGGAAGGCTGACTATACTCGATTCTTTTTTTTTTTTTTTTTGAGACGGAGTTTCACTCATGTTACCCAGACTGGAGTGCAATGGCGCGATTTCGGCTCACCGCAACCTCCGCCTCCTGGGTTCAGGCAGTTCTGCCTCAGCCTCCTGAGTAGCTGGGATTACAGGCACGCACCACCATGCCCAGCTAATGTTTTTTTTGTATTTTTAGTAGAGACGGGGTTTCACCATGTTCACCATGATGGTCTCGATCTCTTGACCTCGTGATCCACCCGCCTCGGCCTCCCAAAGTGCTGGGATTACAGGCTTGAGCCACCGCGCCCGGCTACTCGATTCTTTATTCCTGGTACTGTGGCTGGCTCCCCAGTGAACCCTACAGCAACCAAGTTAGGAAATCTACAGGCTTTCCCACCACAGGAAATGGGTGGATCCTTCTAGGTAAGAGATCAGGCAGAGTTCTGTCTGGCCCTGGAGAGCTTTCCACAGGTAGTCAACCCTTTAGGTGGTAAAAGGGAAATGGCTGCGTGTACCCAGACCCAAATCTGTCAGATTTCCAATGTTAAGCGCCAAGTGCCCATTTTTTTTTAATTAAAAAAAATGTTTAGAGTGCTAATCTATAAAGCCAATTAAAGAAGTAGTGTGGATTTTAAGTTTGAATTTATAATATTCTTCAAAAGTCAAGCAATGAGAATAGATATTGCCTTGCTATTGGAGTTTATAGATAATATTTGTCAATGTCAGTATCAAATTTAACTTTTAGTTCTCTGATATGGAGAAAATTCTGACGCCCACAGGTATATGATCACAAGTTTTAGTTAACCTTGCAAGATAACCTTAAAAAGTACATGAAGTCAGCAGTCTTGGGATACTTTTTAGTGATTCAGGATAGCAGAAACTTTTAAGATAGGCACAAAAATAAGTCAACCTGGCAACACAAATTATCATTTTTCTTTGTAGTATAACATAAAATATATAATTGTGCACGTTTTTTTAAAATAATATGTTCACAATATATTTCAAATTATTTTAACATGTAATCAGTATTATAAAGAATAGGATAATTGACTTTTTTCATTTCATACTAAATTTTGAAACCTGGTACGTATTTTACACAGCATTTGCCAGGTCCCACTAGCTGCATTGAGCGCTCAGTAGCCACAGGAGGCTACCATTTTGCCAGAGGCTTTATGT